ATCATTTGCATAATTTTATGTACTTTCAAGAATCAAATATTTATACTTTTTTTATTTCTGACAAGAGAAAGAGTTATAGAAGATGTTAATGTATAAGGACAGGTTTTTTAGTTTTTGTTATTTTTTTTTCGCTTTTAAATTATGATGCCAAAATCGGAGAGAAATACACTTATTGCCGTTGATACATTTTTTCTGAATGCCTAATTTACTACCTTTTCAAAAATACTTCAATTAGCTGCACCAAATCTGCCTAGCACCATAACCATTCAACCGCCACAATCCATAATTTGTGTTGAGTGGACACCAGGATTTAATGGTGGAGCATCACAAAGTTTTATAGTTCAACATTCTACTGATGATAAAATATGGGTCAATTCGTCCACAATACCAGATGGTACCAATAATGGTCGAGTTGACTATTGTATAGAAGGATTAGAACCAGATACTAGTTATTATATCAGAGTGATAGCTAGTAATAAATATGGTGAAAGTATGACAGGTATGATTTGTCAGATAGAATCTTATTAACTTCGAGACAAAATAGATCTTAAATACTGGACATCAGACATTCTTGGCGTAGGTATTGTTGACACAGCTTTTTGGAAAGTAAAAATGATCATGTTATTTTGAATTTTAGCTAGTTTTCTGGGATTTAACAAGTCCGCCGACTGCAGTAAGAATATTAATTGTGGTGACACCAATGACATCAATACTGTTTATAGCAGTGGTTATAACAATGTACTTGGTGCTGGTATTGGAATAGGTGTAGGGATATCTATAGCTATAGCAGTGATGGTTGCTACAGCAATATTTATTTATAGATATTGGTCAGGTCTGAGATTAATATTATTTGCTAAGATTCTGGTTCTGGCAACACACTTAAAATTTGATATTTGCTATGTGTGTTTATGTTTTTCCATATCAAAATACTTTTAAGATGGTAATTAAATTTAACAGATTGCAACTAATTAATGTATTTACTTAGATTATTGCTAGAAAAGGTTGGAAGAAGCAAACATGTTCTCTCCTTTTATTTAAGGCAAACGAAAGAAAGTTGAAGAAAAGTAAGTTTTTACATTAGAAAAAATAAACGTGTTTTTAATAACTGATCTGGCAGTTTAAGATTAATTTGATGCTAAATTCTCAGCTTACATAGTTTTGTTTCATTCCCTTAAATCAATTTATCAATTCGTTCTGTCCGAGCGAAGGTAACCAAAAAAAGTGACCCAATGTTAGTCAAGCAATCAACACTGGTGGTCGACTGTATATAATCTTAGTTTATTGAATTGTAATCTTAGTCATATATATATATATATATATATATATATATACTTATATTATTTTATAGCTACGCTGGGATTAATACTACGACACGATCTGGTAAATAGTTTCTTTTCATTTGTGTCTTTTATATGTCTTTCTAATTCAAAGTGTTAGGCAATTATTAAGAGGCACATAGAGAATTGATAACCTTCAGCTAAACTTTGTAGGCATATTATTTGTGCAATGAAAAGGAAAATCTACTATTGAAGTAGACATTAATTACACTTTATGTAAATTTTAAGATAATTTGGTACATTAAGAAACAGTTGATATTGTGTTTGATAAAACTGCATGTAGATCATTAAATTTATAATATTAAGATAGAGTTGATTTCATGTGGGCGTATAAAATTGTAGTACAATACTTTAAGGACGGTTATCCAGATATTTTAACAAAAATGCATTCAATTCTGTCAAAAAAAATCATGAAACATTTATTGATCAAAATATCTTCTAAATGAATTTAAGTGCACAAATGGATGAATATTGAATGCTTTCACCAAAAATCACTTGTCATTTTTCTGTCGATGATCTGAAGGCGTGACAACAAGAATGACGAAAATCATTGCAAATGTATTTATAACTAAAATTTTAAATTTAATTTTTAATTTGTATTAGTCACAAAGTTCCCTTCTATTTGTTTTAGATGACACACAAACATATCAAGAATTAGATACAGTCAACAATACAGCTAGAATACAATCAGATAATAGTTCTAATGTTGATAGAAACGATGCTAATATAGATGATATTAGACCATATGCTAATCTTGGTAAAAGTTAACAGAGGTACAAATATCAGGTTTTACCAAATTGATGATGAGGAATAGATAATTATGATACATTATGCTATTTATGATCTTTACTAGCTCGTTGAAAACTTTTAATCAATATTTTTCTTCGGTTTGTGTTGATCGATATGTAGATTTCAGGTGTGAAAATTTACCATCTTATATCGGTTTAATATTTTTTCAACATTGCATTTAATAAAAATGACAATTACTTTTCAGAATAAAGTTATGGAGAGAAAGTTCGGAAACACAAAGTGTGAAAAATGTACTACAGATTGACCATCAAGAGTGTATTACCTTTTTCTAAGAATAATTCAATTATAGTGTCTAACTGTTTGTTACACTAATTTCAATATCAAAATATTTTAAATAGTGCCCAATACATTAAATGTGGGGCGATACAGAAATTATTTTATACTATATATTGTATAATCATATATTTTGTATATATTTTGTATTACCTGCGATATTGTTTTTAGTAGTTTTTGTAGTCATTAAATGACTTTTCCTGTGATATGGTTTTTATCGTCTTGTTTTGTTGTCACTATGTGATTCCTTTCTGTGATATTGATAGGTGTTATACTGTTTTAATGTTTTATTATTTTATCGTATTCTGGAGCTATATAGCCCGTTTGGTGCTGATGCTCCTTAATGCATTTCATTTCATTTGTATTTTGTGTAATTTAACATTGCTTGTTGTATTTGTATTCTCATCGATATGTGTACCCAATAATTCATAATTTAATTAGCACTGCATCTAGAGTAAAATTTGCTCATTGAAATAAAAACAGTATTAAAAACAAACAAAATATTAAAAACAAACAATGATTAATCTATTCAAAATAAAGATCCGACTATCTTAAAAAGCCACAACCTTCTCATAAAGAGGGATCTCAAAGGTTTGAGATGCTTGCACTAAATCAGAATGTGTTTCACTGTCAGGCAGATCTGGCAGTGCTCACAGTCTGGTTGAGGCTCTCGCTTGAGCAAATAACAGTTGGTGAGGTGAGTATGTCCAAGACGAGAGCGACAGAAAACAACTTTATTTCTCCTGTTGGCACAATAGGAGGAAGGCCAGTCTTCTAGGAGAGGCTTAATGGCATGAAGCTTGTTAGTTTCTGCAGCATCCCATCTTTGCTGCCATCGATGTTGAATAAAAGACCTTATCACCGATTTAAAAGACAAGGGGGAAACAGGCAGTGACAAAGCAGCCTTAGCCGCCGCATCTGTCATGTCATTCCCCCGTATATCCATGTGACTGGGGAGCCAACAAAGGACAATGTCCTTTTTCGGCCCAGAGAGCTTGTATATATCCCCGATTATTGGGTGTACAAGCTGGATGTTATTAATAGCTTGTAATAAGGACAAAGAATCAGAAAATATAATATATATTTAGAGACATGATGTTTATATTTTATTATTTTTTTGTCTCTTGAGTGTATTCTTTGATCTTTCTATTTTTTCACTCATTATTATCATTTAATTGATCTTAAAATACAACAAGACACACAATTTTGTTGGG